CAGACCAGGGACACGGGGAGCAGAGCCGCAGCGGCAGCGGGGTGCCGCGCCTCTGAGGCTTTGCTCTGGCAAAGCCTCAGAAGCGCGGGGAACCGCCGCGGCTGCCACTTCAGTCCCGGTGCCTGTGGTCTGCTGGGGACGGTCAAAGTTCTTAAATCAGAGTAATGCTGTATCAAAGTTCTTAAATCAGAATAATGCTGCTCATCAAAAAGGGGGGAGAATTAATCTTTTTCTAAAAATATAACAAACAACAATATCTAATTAAAAACAGTGCTAAGTTATCAGAAACATAACATATGTTTAATACAAACATATTATATACCGTTAAACATAGCTGATTTTTATAATAGCCATCCGTCACTATAAATGATTGTGAATTCCCTTTTTCTAGGTGAGACACCAAACAAAAAAAATTGATGAAAAGGCTAATAATCATACCTTATATTTGGTCATGGTGCTAAAATGGTTGTTCCTGAAGAACACACAGAGTTCTCCTTCCTGAACTGCTGAAGTCAGCTCACATAACCCATGGTATGTCAACTGAGTAGCTGTGTTGTTCAGAAATTGTTCAGCTACGAATCCTATAGAAGTAATGAAGACTATTAACTGTGAGTCCATCATACATAGCTAAATACATAGATAAAAATTAGATAGCAAAAATTAACTCCTGAAATATCAAGAATAGTTTTAGCACTTCAAACTCTCCTAACACTTGCGTATACTTGCAGTTGTATAGAGAACTGAATATGTGTCACTATATCATTGTGTTCTGAAAATAATACATTTTAACCTTGTTCTAACTGAAAGGTTTAATGGAAAATTCTAAGCTCTTGTGTTTTCTGTAGATCATTATCAGTGATGAACCACAGTCCTGATTAGACTCTCTGGCTTCCACAGTGCAAGCAACATAATGAGCCACTAATGATGCCTCCAAAAATTCAGCCCTGCCTGATTCAACTATAGTTTACAGAACAAAAGAAGATTTGAATACATGTATATCTTTGTGAAATGCATGTTTTTGGGGGGCAAACTTACTAGGCATCTGAGCAAGGTGGAGGTGGGGCAGCTCTGCGCTACTGCAAGGAGCTGCCAGCCCTCAGCACTACCAGGAGAGCACCGTGTTCCCCTACCGCCCACAGCAGCCCTCAAAGCCACGTGGACTGTGAGGCTCTCAAGTGGCAATTTAAGGACCTGGAGCTTCCTCTGCTGCCACAAAAGCAGCAGAGGAAGCAAGAAACCCTAGGCCCTTTTGAATCTCCAGGCTGTAGAGCAATTGTCCTCTTTGACCTGCCCCCTTGCCCGATCCTTCCTATCAGTAGGCCTATATACATTCACTCACCCATGTGCATGGCAGCCAGTTTTAACTAATGCTATTTTTCACATTCCCTTCACCAGTAAATGAAGGCTTCCTTATTACTGAGTCCAAATGCACAAACCACAGAAAGAACAGCTGATATTTTATAAATCTCAACAATAACGTACAATAGCTTTTCTTTATATTTCTAATCTAAAATCTAGAGATCTACCATGCAAAGAAGTATTATACCTAATAGGGATATTCCCCTTTACAACTTATATAAAGTTTCCATTTCTAGCCATCATATGTTGAGACACTGCAGACCAGAAATCTGTCACTGACCCATGACTGAATGTTGCCCATAAGAACTCAAGATAATGAAATGAACTTGCCCATGAAAACTCAAGCTAAGGAAAGAAATATTTCTCCAGTTTGTACAATAGCAGAGCTTAGAGGTTTGCAAAGATTTGTAAATTCCATCCCTAGAGGAAATCCCAATGCAGATGATTGAATGTCCTCAACTGCACTTTTGCCCATTAAATAAGCCTGATAAATGCAGTTTATCACATCGATGTCACCACCACATGACAGACTACATATACACTAGGGCCAACATATAACTTATTTAATGTTTTAAATAAATATGTTCTATAATGTATATTATATATAATAAAATCATAGAATACTAGAACTGGAAGGTACCTCGAGAGATCATCATATCCAGTCCCCTGCCCTAGTGGCAGGACCAAGCATCATTTATACATATCCCTGACAGATGTTTATCTCACCTACTCTTAAAAATCTCCAATGATGGGGATTCCGCAACCTCCCTAGGCAATTTAGTCCAGCATTTAACCACCCTGACAGGTAGGAAATTTTCCCTAATGTCCAACCTAACCTCCCTTGCTGCAATTTTAGCCCATTGCTTCTTGTCTCATCATAAGAGGCCAAGGGGAACAATTTTTCGCCCTCCTCCTTGTAACATCCTTTTAGATACTTAGAACTGCTATCATGTCTCTCCTCCTCAGTCTTCTCTTTTCTAAGCTAAATAAGCCCAATTCCTTCAGTCTTCCCTCATAGCTCAAGTTTTCTACATTTTTAATCATTTTTGTTGCTCTTCTCTGGACCTTCTCCAATTTTTCCACATCTTCCTTGAAATGTGGTACGTAGGACTGGATACAATACTCCAATTGAGACCTAATCAATGCATTACTTCTCATTTCTTGCTCACAACACTCCTATTAATGCATCCCAGAATCAGGTTTGCTTTTTTTTGCAACATTGACGATGAACCATTAATAACTACTCTCTGAGAGCAGTTAGTTACGCATTCACCTTCATCAGTTCCAGTAAGAAGAAAGAAGAAAAAAGTTACCATGGCAGCATTCACTCACCTTCACTAACCAGTTCACTGTTGTCTGACTGTTTGCAGCAGATTATTTTCTCCACCAATTGATTGTAACTACAATTACCAACTGCCTTCACGATGTCAGCAATCTACAAAAAAAATTCATTTATTTTATGAAGAACAGAAAATCCATTGTTTGATCCTATGTGCCTACTGGATTTGTTCCCAAGATAAAATACCTCAAAAATGAATTATCCACAAGATGCAATTTATCTCTATCACACATGCATAACCCTAGATCAAAAAGTCTTAACCCAAGCATGTTGCACACATTTTGTGGAGAATACAAAATTCCATTTTAATTATGAAGTATGAGCTTAGGTTTAATACTACACAGACTGCCTTCAATACACAGTAGAATACTCCGTTATATCAGTGGGCGATCTGCATGAAGATCTCATGCAGACTCAGACCTTTAGGCAATACCCCAATTTTTAGTTAATTTTTTTGGTTATGTATTGTTGATATTGACAGATTCAGCTTCATTTAATGGCAAATATGCTGCTATTTTAATCTGATCATTTTTCATTCCTTGTTATTCCCTTTTTTCTGCATCAGGCCTTCATACTTTCCCGAGCCATTGTTGCATGAAGCCTGCAGACTCAAGCAGATGACACTGCATTAGTGGTACTTGGTACACCTCTGAAAGATTTCCAGCAGCTGAGAGGGTTACAAACTTTTGTTTTTAAAAAACGTAAAAACTTAAGATTTCGCAGAACCAGTGCGACACATAGACCACATAAAAACAACCAATACATGCCCACTTAAGCCACATTTATTCGCTGCTTTTTAGAATAGATTATAATGTGCTGTAAATCACTTCCATGTATGTTCCAGAGAATCCCAGTGTCAAAAATGAGATGGCTTCATCTAGTGTTCGTCCTTTTTTTAAAATACTCAAAAATTTAGCATGAAGTCAATTTGATTAAAGCCAACTAAACTGAACAGGTAGATGTTAACTCTAACAAATATATTCTATTCTATTTCCCTTAGGGCAGGGGTCTCCAAACTTTTCAGCCCGAGGGCCGCATTAACTATCAAACAGCAGTTCGGGGGCCGACTACATACTTGAGGTCCAAATAAAAAACAATCAAAACATGGATGTTGTTTTTAATTATTTATTTAATATTATTTTATTCAGTTATTATTTAATAACACATTGATACACTACACATGAACACCTGTATTAGTGTGAATGGTGAAATTGTTTCCTGGATGCCAAAATAGCAGACATTTCTGGCTTTAGAAATCACTGTTTGAAATTGGGGGTGGTTCAATATGTTCAGCCTAAGACACTCACACTTGAAGAGATGTGATCGCTCTCCTATCATGCAGGGAATGAGGTGACAATTTGTAACATAGCCTCATGGAACAAGGGGCATGCATTTTAATGGGAAAAGCTGGTTTGAAAGCAGACACGTTATCACTGTGCCACAGCAACCAGACCGCCTCCTGCAATGGGCACCAGCTCCTCAGCCCCGCCCCCGGAGAAGTAGCCCCTCGCTCCTAGCCCCTGAGAAACCACCGTCGGGTTTCCTCCCCTCCGTCCAGCCTCCCGCGATCCACTGTATTCCTCTTTCAAGAGAGGAATGCAAATGCAGCTGAGTGAAATTGCAAATTAAGCACCATTTGAATTTCCCTTGCTTCACTTGCATAATAGCGTCCGTCCGCTATTTCAAAATACCCCCTATTTCGAAAAAAGAAACGCTGTCTAGAAGTGGTTATTTCGAAAGAAACCCCTTCTTTCAAAATTACCCTTAAACCTCATTTTATAAGGCATAAGGATAATTTCGAAAGAAGGATTTTCTTTTGAAATAACCGCGTCTAGACAGTTTCTTTTTTTGAAATAGGGTATTTCGAAATAGCGCCCAGTCGCGATTATGCAAATGAAGCACAGGAAATTCAAATACGCACATTTGTAATTTCGTTCATCTGCATTTGCATTTCTCTCTCAAAAGAGGAATGTAATGTAGACATACCATACCCTTAGAGAAATACCTAAGGATACAGTTAGCTTTTCACATTACTTCTTTATGTAAGAAAATTCTTCCTCTGTTGGATCATCATGGAAAATTATTTCTAGAATTAACATGTCTCTATTAACACATCTTCCCCACCAAATTTCAAAATACTGATGAACAATGGCTCGGGAAAGATGCTGAAGTAGCTGAGACAGAAATTAATAAAATACCAACTTAAAATGTACATTCTTCAGACCAGGGATAATGTTTTCTTGCATTTCTAAGTCATTTAGAACAATGGGGCTTCAGTCATAGCTGGTGCCCATGGGGACTAATCAAATAATAAATTAATATTAATGTCAGAAAGAAAAGCTTGCTTTTACCTGTGAAGGGTATGCTTGTGTTCATTTTAAACAAAATGTGATTTGGAAGGTACGTATGCATAAAGAAGCATGCTGTGGCTCACCACCCTAGGAACATTCTAGAAAAGGCCGGAGGGGGGGGGGGTTAGTTCAACATGTGGAGTGGAGAAGTATAAGCATGTGATGAACAAATCCATATATGAGAATGACTGGCCAGAGGTTTGTGTTATGTAACTTGTTATGTGCTATAAAATAGCAAGGCTCCTTGCTCGAGGAACTCTGGCTCATTTCTGTACTGGGGCTCTCCCTTTGTGCACATAGAATAAAGTTTTGTTGAACTGAATTCAATTGAATGAAGTATTGAAGACCCTTGATTCCGCCCGGCATCTGACTCATTTGGTTATTATTGGGTACCACAAAATCCCAACACCTGGAAGTAAATAAGGAACCTGGAAAGTTTTGGAACAAAATACGTACTTCTTCTATGGCCAAAATTACAACTTTTTACAACTGTTGTTTCTCCTGTTCTCTAAGGTTGTCACCTATAGAGTATAGAAAGGGATGGAGTATAGATGCACAATGCCTATCAGAGAGATTGGTTGTGATCTATCGTGCTACAATTAGATGAAAGTATTTTCTGACCATAAAAATGGTCAGGCTTTAAAAAAAAAAAAAATTCACTGAACACAAGAGCCATAGTCACAAATATTAAGGAATACACCAATTATGTAGGCAGGCTACTATAGCCATATCATATAATCAGAACTGGAAGGAACCTTGAGAGGTCATCAAGTCCAGTCCCCTGCCCTCACAGCAGGACCAAGCACCCTGTAGATCATCCCTGACAGATGTTTATCTAACCTGCTCTTAAAAAATCTCCAGTGATTGAGACTCCACAGCCTCCCCCTAGGCAATTTATTCCAGTGCTTAACCACCTTAACAGTTAGGAAGTTTTTCCTTATGTCCAACCTAAACATCCCTTGCACCAATTTAAATCTATTACTTCTTGTCCTACTATCAGATGTCAAGGAGAACAATTTTTCTCCCTCCTCCTTGTAACAACCTTTAAGGTACTTGAAAGCTGTTATGTCCCCTCTCAGTCTTCTCTTTTGAATACTAAACATACCCAACTCTTTCAGTCTTCTCTCATACGTCAGGTTTTCTAGACCTTCAATCATTTTAGTGTTCTCCCTGGACCTTCTCCAATTTCTCCACTTCTTTCCTGAAATGTGGTGTCCAGAACTGTTTTAAGTTCTGGATCGATACAAAATAGCACTGCTGGTCTTGGGGAAAATTGAGTTTTATTTTACCTTTTCCAAAGGTGGCATTCATTTCTCACATGAAATATGCTTTCCCATAGCTGCACAGTATCACCTTCCTGTCTTAACTTGATGGCAGCTCAGCCAGCCCATCCTAAAGAAAGTTATACCACTTTCTCTTGGCATTAAAATGAAATTGAAAAAGTGACATCTTTATGTTCAGTTCTTGGAACAGAAGCTGCTAAAAAGCAAGGTAGGAATTTTAGGAAGAAAAAACATCACAACACAAATTTCTGACATTTTAGTGTCCAAACTCTCTCTCTCTCATATGATCAAGCTAAGTAATTAATGCCACCTCTGGAAAAGGCAAAATAAAACTCCATTTTCCCCAAGACCAGCAGTGCTATTTTGTATTGATCCAAAACTTAAACAGAAAGTTTCCAACTTTAGACAATGTAATATTCCATCACTGCAAAATTATAGTCCTTTAAAATGAAGAGTAAGTTTCATACCACTCTTCAAATGTGAAATATTAATCTGGGTGCAGATTCATAAGAAACCTCAATAGCTCACTTTTACTTCTGCTTAAACAAAACTAAACAGACTGTGAGCCTCAGTTAAAATTCATCAGGAATCTTAAAATTCTCGTGTGCTGTACACATCTTTGAAGCTCTTCACACATTCCCCCAGTATAATATAAAATAGTTCAGACAGCAAATGGACAATTTGTCATCTAACCTACTTTACTTACCTGAGGATCCACTAGCCATCCATGGTATAGGGGAATATCAAGAAGATCAAACACTATGCATTCAGGGGTGTATTCAAATACTCGTACACCAGTGAACTTCACATTAACATCCAGACCCGTCTGTAGCTTATGTAGGATAGCCATTGCATCACTCATATTCTGAGAACAGAAAGAAAAACATAGATGAACCAAATGGAGAGAACAATACAGATGAAACAAATGGAGAGAACCTTCTACACTTGATTCTTACTCAGATAAGTCAATCATTCATCCAACTGAAAGGTTTATAGTATCCTTTTGCAAGTTTCATATAAAAAAACAATGGATGCAATATACTTTCTCCTCATTAGTTATACAAGTATCACAACTTAAGATGCACCTTCCAATACTAGAAAATAAAAGTTCACTTAAAATTTCATTTAACAAGGCATTATCTGGAACAAGTAATGTATGTGTACTAAAATGTACAACTGAAGTTCATTATACCTATTTACACACACTCACACTCACACTCACAGGTACATCAGAAGTCCTAGTCCTAAGCACTGTAAAAGCAATGTAACAAAGAAAGTTTCTGGCCTGAAGACTTAAACAGTTGATTTATTTTTAAATAAGATCAGTTTTCCTACTTTATAGTTCAGACTTCAATTTATTGATTTGAAGTAAGGGAATGTAATAGTGCTCGAAAGACGTTCGGAGAAGCATTTCAGGCATAAGATTTCTTATATCAGCACATCAGCAATGGCTGAAGACTCTAGTTCCATATTACAAAAACAAAGGAGCTGTATTATAGAACTCAAATGAATGAGTAGGACTTGCAGAGATGCTGCAGACAGGGTAACAAAAGCTGTAAAACAGTGTTAGTAGCTATAAATGTGATGGTAAACTTCCATTCAGTTCCCTCCCTGAGCTCTAGACTTCTTCCTGCATGTCTCTACTGCCTCCAAAGTTCAAAAAGGGTAATTGCTCTTTTCTTCTTTCCAGACACTTGGGGAAAAAAGGTGATTATAGGAATGTTGTATTTTCTTATGGACAAAATCCCAGCCTTTTTAATATGTTCTTCTGAATTCCTGACCCACATGTGAGAGCAATATCACTGCTTTCCATCAATCAACCGAGACAAGGACCAGAAAGATAAAATGAACCAGACTATACAGGAGCTTCAGGGGGTAGCCAAGTTAGTCTGTTAGGGTATGTCTACACAGCAAAGTTATTTCAAAATAACAACCCTTATTTCGAAATAACTTTCCTAGCTTCTACACAGACAAACCGCTATTTTGAAATTAATTCAAAATAGCAGAGTGCTTATTTTGAATTTGGTAAACCTCATTCTATGAGGAATAATGCCAAATTCGAAATACCTATTTTGAAATAAGTGCTGTGTAGACGCTTATTTCAAAATAGGGGGCCTCCAGCCTTCTCAGGGTGCCCTGGTGGCCACTCCGGCCTCAACCAAGAACACTTCTCTCCCTCCCCCCCTCCCCGGAGCCCTTAAAGGGGTAGATACTGGCCACAGTGCCTGTGCCAGCTCCAAGCCTGCCAGCCCAGAGCCAACAGTCACTGCCCCTGACCCAGTGGCCCCAAAACATGAGCCAGCAAGCCACTGACAGCCAGCCCTCTACCGCTCCCCAGGAGCAGTCTGCCAGCTCCCAGAAGCCTGCCAGGGCTGGAGAAGGAGGACCCCTTCCTGGGCCAGGGTGGAGATCATGGACTTTATTCAGGTTTGGGGGGGATGCCCCCAACATCCACGATCTCTGCACTAGATGGAAGAATGCAGCTGTCTATGGCAGGATAACTGCCAGCCTGGCCACCAAAGGCCACATGCGAACCCAGGAGCAGGTTTGCATGAAAATCAAGTTGGTCTGGCGAGACCCTCAACCCTGAGCTTCCCCTTCCCCTTCATCCCCTTGCTTCCCTCTTCCAGCTCCCTCCTCCCAGATTTCCCCCATCCCTTCTCTCACCCTCTCTTCTCCCCTCTCCCACCTCCTTTTCTCAGTCTCCCTAGAGGTTCATTCCCCTCCTCCCAGTTTTGTTAAACAAAGACAGTTTGTGTTCATGAAAGTACATGTATTTTATTTGACATCAGGAAATGGGGCTAGGGAGGGTAAGTGGAAGGACGTGAGGGAGGAATGAGGCACAAGCCCCCAGTGGGGCAGACCAGGGAGGCTCTTAGTTCTCCTCAGTTTGGAAGCTCTCCCGCAGGACCTCCTGGATACTGACAGCCCCCCGATGGACTTCCCGGATGGCAGCCTGCAGAAAGTGCAGCCAGGCTCGCAGCAACGTGTCCACGAGAAGCACCAGAGTGCCCAAGGGCAGCTGTGGCTCCATGTTGCAGAGTGCTGTGGTGACCCGAGTGAGGGCAACCAGAGAATGCAGAGACAAAATGCTTTGCTGTCCCTCATCAAGGTAGACAAGCAAGCAGGGAAACCTGAGAACTGGCTGTCTGGGGGAGTCCCTTTAAGCACAGACCTCAGATAGCCTCAGACAGCAGTCCCACACAGTAAGTCCTGACCTGGTGTCTTGCCGGAACTGGTTCCGGCCAGCCTTAAATGCAATTCAGAGTCCACTCAGTGTGGATGCTGTAGCCAGACAGGAACCCCCCCTTGTAACATCCATTTTTGCTTGCCTGGAGCATCCAGGGCACACAGAGCAGAAGGCCCAGGCTGTGTGACCGTGAATGGCTGTAAACAGAGATACGCCAATTGCTGACCAAGAGGCTGCCAAGGAGCGCCCTTGACTCAAACCCATATTGATACGAACACACATCCATCCGCGGGGGGAGGAATCTCTCGCCCAGTAAAAAAATGTCTAGTATTCACAATTTAGTTCTCTCTCTTGCAAGTGTAAATTAACTTGAAACTTGCTTTTAAGAACTAGCGCCACAAAACGGACCAGTACAATTCGGCATCTTAGATAAGAAAGAGGATACGGGCCCCCAGGGGTATATAGATGGGTCCAGCAGCACATTTTCTCTGAGTGTCAATCTACCATCTATCTGCTGGTCGGGTTAGGTGTTTGATCTCCCAAGGTTCCCAGGGGGACGCCCACCTTGTATTCGTCTTTCCTAGGAATTGAGAGACCGGCCCTGGCCTGACACGCTGGAGTCGAGAGGCACAGAAAGGGGTAAAAATTGTACCTGGATGTGGTCCTTTGCTTAAGTATATATATACATAGTGTTAGAGCTCTTTAAAGATTAAGCTGTCACTTGGTACCATTATTTCTATTTTCTATCTTTACCTTTTTCCTGTGATCATTTTTAAGACCTATATATATTTGCTAGCATTTAAGAAATAGAGCAATAGCCATTGTAACTATATGCTTTTATAAGTCTTTTAATAAACCTGTAACAGTTTAAGCTTTAACCTGACTCCTCCAGTTGCTGTAATAGAACCAAGCACAATTTAAAAGAACTTCAGCCGGTCATAAAGGGACAGACATAGGGAGAGCTTGGGTGTTTGGATCTGTGTCACTCCCAGGTGACAAGATCCATTGGCGCACCTTTTCAGCCTTTCCTAGGCTGCCCGCTGCGAAGGAACCCCTGTGTTCTAGCAGCTAAAATCTAAAGTGTAATAAGCTCTTCCTATATAACGGGGCGTCTGTTGGCCTGCTGGCCACCCTCTGCAACGGGACCCCAGTCCTAGCAGTAAAGACACGGACGTTAAACCTTTTCTCGGAAACATACACACACACACACACACTGCCCTGACCGTCGGCTGACAGATGCACTATATCAAAATAGCAAAATGCTATTTCGAAATGCATTGTGTGGAGACGCGTTATTTCGAAATAAGCTATTTCGAAATAACACTGTAGTATAGACATACCCTTACAGAAAAAAACCAACCAATTGTCTGATAGCACTTTACAGACTAATGAAACATGTAGCTGGTATCATGGGCTTTCATGGGCACGACCCACTTCTAAAATTTCAAATTTTTTGGATAAACTGTAATTATTAAAGTGATGTTGGAAAGTGAACAGATCATTATTCTAAATACTAAAACCAGCAGCTGAAAGTGATTGATAAGAAGAGGTAAAATTAGAAAGCTAAAAAATAAATCTCACAAAATTCTACTTCCTAACTTGGGATGTGGTTTTATTTTATTATTCCCCAAACAAATTTGGGATGAGGTTTTAGTTGTTAAAATGGGTAATACACTAATATAACCATCACCTCTGTAGAAGATTCATGCAGAGCACAAAAGAAATGGGGGGAGGAGGGGACCCACTTCATATGAAAGCAGTAAATTCCCGCAACATTACGAACATACTTTCCAAAGATAACATGGTAACATGACACGGAAGTAACTCCCATTAATAGGATATATCCTACCTAGAGGAATCTGGCTTTGAACTGACAAATTGGGAACTTTTCAATAAGAAAAAAACACCTCATACAAAATATATATAAAGATTTTTCATTAAGCTTTAATGAGTGCTCATAAGGATGCATAGTAGCTGAAGCTACGTAAGAAGTGGTCCCCAAGACCACTTCCATGTAAGATCTCCACACAGTTTTGCAGTGTCATCTACAAAAACAGATGAAGGAATTACCTCTGATGCAAAAAGAAAGAGGGTAGTACCTTCCATCAAAAAATGACAAGATTTAGAGGAAAATGACTGCAGTGTTAACAGTTGCAAAGGATGCAAGGAGGCCTTAAGAAGTCATCAAGTCCAGTCCCTGTAATACTGTTAAGATATTAAAAAGAGCAATTTCAGAGGACTAGAATGGGTGGGAAACAGATAAAAAGGGGATTCAGAGTGGAGATGGTGGAGAGAAGGAAAGCTCAGTCCCACTGCTCTTAAGCTGTCTGAACTTAGAAAAGATGGGACTGGAGAAAAAGGGCTAGGTAGCACTGGAGGTTAGGGAGAGTAAGCAGAAGAGGAAATACTGTCAGGGGTAAGGAGAAAAATAAGACCATTACCTCTTCTGTAACTGGTGTTTGAGATGTGTTGCTCATGTCCATTTCACATTAGGTGACTCCAAGGAGTACCTCTGGAGGTGGGTAGGAGTTCATGGCTTGGCTGATTGCAAGAGAGCTCTGACAAATCCAGCAAAGTATCTGGCCTGCTGAGCAATGGTGTAGTGCAAGGCTGGTCAAGATGTGGCCTGAGGGCCAGATCCGGCCCACCTAACACTTTGATCCGGCCTCTTGGAC